TTTTATTGACCAGTGAAGGTGGATGAACTCATCGATAGTGGATATGTGATACGATCGATTCTCAGATTGGATTCAGCCAAACGAATGATAAAACTTTGAAAAATAGATCTTACTACAGATAATCACATCTCCATTCAATCATAACTATCACAAAGTGGAACAAATCACACTATCCAATAGTCGGTATTTTATTCAGCAGGTAACGAACTGAGGATGACACTGTCATTTCAGCGCCTTTCGTCTGAAAATCCCATTTACCGCTTTCTTCAAATTTGTTATGAAATCGTGTACCCTCATGCACGTGAGGCTACTTGAATGCAACTCCTTCTTGATTTCAAAAATAAGCTTTTCTTCAGATTGATAATCCTAAAAATGTTTCATAAACGTAATCGATAGTAATTGCTTTTCGTAGGAATTTTAATCCACGAGAAATACGAAACCAAGACTCTTTTCATGCTTTGAACATTGAATAATGTTCCTTTCTCATACATATTTTGGTTTCTAAACGATTTTTATGCATGATAATCCTGTGTGATGTATGATTTTTTTAAAACTATTCTGAATGGAATACCCGCTCCATTCGGAATAATATTCAAATTTGCATGATAATTTAAACTAGCGTGATAATTTTAAATGGAAACTTAAAACGATTGCGTATTTCACTAAAACTGCGATTGTTTGTTGTTGCATTCTGACCGTTCGATTAATATTTCGACTCCCATTGATTTCAGCTCAATAAACTCAAGAAGGTAAGAATATTCTAATCTTGTGAACCACTACGGAAGCGCTACACTAACGTAAGTAACAACCGAAAATCAAATATCAGTCTAAGTGAACGCAACAAATTTATTCTGACGTACAACTGTGCGATGTTCTTCAGCTGAGAAGACTTATCTGTGGTCTTCAATTGAGCACTGAACGAATATGGGACGTAAACTTGTAACGCTGCGTCGAATAGTGCTGCTGCTGCTTGGTGCTGTCTGTCTCGTTTCGTTGATGGCAATGGTAATTGACGCACCATCACGGCCGAATTACGCTGATGTCGATGTGCCATGGATACCTGATTTCCTATCGCATTCAGAAGGGAAGGCGAATGCACCATGGAATCCTGATATTCGTCTTTTATTTGACACCATCCGTCGGAAAAAATCGTTCGTAAATTTTGATTCGGGAAAAAGTAATGAAATGTTTGCGCCAATTGACCGCTTTTGATAAGCCAGTGATCAAAATTTCACAATGTTTTCAAAAAACGAACAAACTTCTCACTTTATTAGTCATCGACGTTGTCTTTTTTCAATTCACTATCATAAAATTAAACTGAATACAGAGGTGAAACCAAATGGGGAGGAACAAGAACCCAACACTCTCCTATCGGAGGGTAGGGGAAAAGAAGAAAGAAAGGACAAGGGAAGGGAGAAA